ACAGCACTTTGTTATTCGTCTAGTTATTTACCTAGTGGCTAATGAATCTGGCACATTCAAACAAAAGCTTACTACCACATTGCAAAATAAGGTGGATATGACTTTTTAGCTTTAGGTCAAAATCCTTGCCACTCTTTTTCATTTAATGAAATTGAACAATCAAAATGAAAACTAGCACCATTAAATGTTTATTTGGACCACTTTTATGGTGTTTCACAACCCCATTTCTCATTGTTTTCCATACTATGTAACAGAGTGGCCAGGAACATTTAAAAATTCACCCTTTGTCTTTGATTTGGGAATGACGTGAGGGTAAGTAAATTATAATAAAAAAACATGCATTTAAATTAATCTAATGTTGTTTTAATGCTACAATATTGTATTAAGGGGCATTGTAAAATGGTGGAAATGAACTATTTTCTAGGCATATTTTAATATCAGCAATATTATCAAATGGCATCTTTCTTCCTTTTTTTCTTTTTAAATAAAAATTATTATCTGGTAACATTTTGAACAGCTTTGAACAACTGTTCTTTGGACTGGTTCCAGTAGAAGACAGAAACAATGAACAATGGTGCAGTGATTTGTCACCAAACATTTACCCAATTTTAGCTACATAATCCTTTTTTTCAGAGTCTTCCAGTGGTTAATTCGAATTTCTCATTTCTGCTTCCACTGATTCCACATTTCTCAATGAATGAGAAATTGTCTGAACCTGAAGCGTTTGGAGAGTTTGAATGGAGGCTGATGGGCAGAGCATTTTGAATCATGCAGAGTAATGGCTCTGGCGGTTTAACATTCAAGAGAGTCTGTGCTTTGTGTTGAATTGGAAAGGTGGATTTTAGGAACTGGCCGGCCCAGGAGAATGTAACAGTATAGCTACACAGCTGCTGCAGTCAGCACAGGTTCTGCTTTGGCTCCAGTTGAACGCCACAAAACGAGAGCCCCAGTTTAGGGGACAAGAAAAAACTGATTCCTATGATGGAAGTGTAGGGACCCTTTTCACCCAACAGTAATGTTTTAAGTGTGTAAAATTTCAATCCCACAGTTGTGCTCTGAAAAAAAGCATGTCTGCACATATACTATATATACTTGCTGAGAGATTGGTTTTTAAATTTACAGAGACAACATTTTGATTGTAAGAGAGCTCAGATTTTCTTGTTAATAAATCAGTTTGTATTGTGTTGCTGGCAGATCGCTTATTCTGCAAATCAACTTGTAACTGGTTTAGAGAGATTTTCAAAAAAGATTCTCTTTTTCACCTAAACAGTCAGAATAGTGTAAAAATATCCTCTTGAAAATATGTTACTTCTGCATTTGTGACCGCAAAAACCTGAGAAAAAGCAAAACAGATTTTCACAAGCTGCGGCTTGAAATATTCAGTATTTTGTGTATTATTAAACGCACAGCCCAAGTTGAGATGCACTTTGAAACTGCTTGGGTAGTTTTGCAGATTCCTCCATGCTGGAAACAACGTCTTACTCTATATTTTATAGAGAAACTGAGAGAATATATTAGACACTTTTAAATATATTAAAACTGTGTGTAAGCCTTTTGACACTGCCTTTTACCCACAACAAATACTTACTTAGAAATCAAGTCTGTATAAGTTTTGTGCCTCGTGGAAACTGTTTATCCCAAGGCCAAAGACATATGACACAAGAGAGTTTTTTATTGGACACAGCAGGTGAGCGGCTGAGGGCCAGCCCACCCACACTGAAAGAGACACCCCCTGTTTGGAGGAAGAGGGGAGCCGTGTAACCCAAGAGCAGCGGGGTATGCAGGGATTTTTCAGGGTTATGCATGCCAAGCGCAGGGTCTCAATCTGGCAAATTCTGCTTGAGTTGGGAGCTGGCACTAGGATCAAAGCAGCCCCCTTGGACCTTGATATTAAATGTTGTCGATACCATGTCAGGAGAAAGAATATGCTGATATCTCGATTACACAAACAAGTTAGGGTGACTTTATGCTAGAGCAGACTGTGAGAATAAATTAACTTACAATGAAAGGGGTTCAGGGGTGCTGCCTTAGAATAACAATTTTGCCCACTGGTAAACTGTAATGTACTGTATGCTTGCATGCTAGCAGCGCTACATGAAATATGCATTCCCTTTTTATAATGCCATGCTCAAAAGTTCATGTATCTGGGGTGTATCTGTGTGTGTGTGTGTGTGTGTGTGCGTACACCCCAGATTTGGGAATAGACATTGTAGTTTATTTCATTATATAATACATATTAAAAATCTGCACTCTTCTATATTTAGTAATTTGTTATTAAAATTAAATTAATTCAGTTAAATGCTGTATCCTAGCTCCTATATCTACTTATGCCTCCTATACCTACTTCCCTATAGAAGCATACACTACAGTTCAAAAGTTTGGGGTCAGTTTTTTTTTATTTTTATTAATTTTATTCAGCAAGGATGTATTACATTAGTAAAGACATTTATAATGTTACAAAAGATTTCTATTTCAAATAAATGACAAAGTTCATATCACGGTTTTTACAAAAATATTAAGCAGCACAACTGCTTTTAACATTGATAATAATACATGTTTCTTGAGCACCAAATCAGCAAATTTGACTGATTTCTGAAGGATCATGTCTGCTGAAAATTCAGCTTTGCCATCACAGGAAGAAATTATATTTTATAAATATATTAAAACAGGAAACAGTTCTTTTAAATTGTAATAAAAAAAAAAATCACAATATTACTGTTTTTAGTGCATTTTTGATCAAATAAATGCAGCCCTGCTGAGCATAAGAGACTTATTTCAAAACAATAAAAACCATACCAACCCCAAATTTTTAAACGGTGGTGTATAATCTTGTGTATTATGATTTGGGACATGACACATAGTATGAAAATTGGGATGCATGAAGAATATACTAAGCAACTAAACTACATTTTAAATTATTAAAGTAAATATATTTTGTGACAAAAAAAGTTTAATACTGTATGGCATTAAGCACTCTCCACAACTATTATGACCTCAAGTAACTGAGGATTTTGATATAGATCATGATTATCATTTAAAAATAATGCTCTTCTGCACTCTTCTCACCACTGAAAGATCTCCCCTCTCAGCCTATAGTTCCTTAGGAAGGCTCCTAATGTAAAGCCCCTATCTGCACTGGCAGATGTGCTGAGATATAGAGACAGACACAGAGGAGGGCATGATGTCATCACACATGTTGACGCCACACGGTCCAGAGTTGTCAAAACTATCAGGCTGCCATATCTCAAAAACTGAAATGGAAAATAAAGAAAGGATATAAAAGAGAGGATATACATTGTCTAAACCAGTCTACAGAATTGCGATACACTCCCAAAAATATTGCACAATGTTGCTGAGCCAATATGTTCACTTGCCTACATAGTACTGACAGGAATAAGAGGGCTTGTATGAACTTCCTGAATCCTGATTAAGATAGTAGAAAGAAAAGGGAGAACACATACTGAATAATTTGTCCTCTTGAGCTCATATTAGAATTGTTTCTTGCCTCTGAACCCTCAGGCACATGTGTCTTTCTCCTCACCTGTTTAGTTTTACACTTTGAGTTGGTTCCTGTCTGAGAGCCCTTTTCATCGTTAGTTTTCTTTAAAATTACAAATATTTTATGAACACCGCAGAAACAGTTCAAAGCACCTTTGTGGGGAGCCTAGCTTAAATACACAGATGTACCAGGCATCACTTCAATCCAACCACCGTATGAGCTACATCACTAATTCACATTAAAGGAAGAGAGAGAGAAACTAATCTTTTTTTCCACCACTCTTTTATTTGATCCTCAGCTACCTATGCATTTACATCAGACTTTCATATTTGGAATTTAAAAATGTGAATAATTTACAAAATAGGGATAGTCATGACTATTTACATTTACAAGAAAGAAAAATCACAATGTTTTTTAAACAGAAAAAAAAAATCTATCAAATATTGTGAAATAGAGAACTGGAAAAAGAAGGTATAAAGTATAAAGGTTAGTAAGATGCATGTGTATTCTATACTACGTAATTGAACAATTTCATATAATTTATTTAAATAGGATTATAAAAAAAATTATTTGAACAACTTTATGAATGAATCAAATGTGCTCTAATCAAAAGTGTTTTATTAAACAGGAAAGTTACTGATTATTTAAATTTTCAGTGCAGTGTTGGGGAAGCTTCATTAAAAAGTAGTTAAACTACTGGTTAAGGATATGTATATGTATATTTCTATTTATATAGAAAAGCTTATAAGTAGAGGGTTTTTGATTCATCCCAACAACTTGAATCTTTTGATTCCTTAAACCTAAAAGTTCAGCTTTGTATTAAAAAAAAAAAAAACATTATAAAAACTGAAAGTAACATCATATTTATATAACTGAATAGGAAACATAATGATGAACACAGACACTTGTGCACAAGGACGAATGAACTGGTTAGTTGTTTATGAACAGGTTCATTTACATGAATGGTTCAATTGAACCGATTCACTAAAATAAATCGTATTTCTCAACACTACTTGAGAGAGAGAGAACAGTTTAAGAAAGTGTTTGATTATTTCCTCTGCTTGCTTGATTGCGTGCATAGCATTAATGTGACAAAAAAAGAGTTATGTAGCATTTTGTCACGCTACACTGTTACATTATTATTATTATTTTTAAAAAGCTCAGCTGCTTAAATGCTACTGTAAATCTAGATAAATTATAGTTAGATGTTTCAGTCGAATATAAATTGAAAAGGTCACATTTGACAAAAAGTTTAATTTGTTAACATCACTTAATTCATTAGGTATCATGAACTAACAATTAGCTTTTTAACAGCATTTAATAATCTATATTGATGTTACTTTATAAATATGCTATCGTTCATTGTTAATTCATAACGTTTATTCATAATACAGTAGGTAATGTTAATATATAACTTGAAATGTTAAAAATGTATTAGTGTATGTAGATATCAACATTAATAGTGTAAAAAATTACATTGGTTGTTAATGTAATGTAAATTAATGTAATACCTCGTGTTAACAAACTGAAACCTATTGTAAAGTGTTAGCTTTAAAAAAATATTCTTATCTCATGAGCAATGCCTCTACAGAAAAAGGTAATGGCCGTGTTACAGCTTTTCTGATGGGGTCTTTATTTGCACCCTCCATACAGTCCATGTGTACAGAGGCCTCGTGTCCCAATGACCTGCAGCGTTTGTGGGGCGATTTAGCTTGTGCCAGCACGTCTGCCATATTCAGTGAGGGAGGAATGTCTTGCTTTGACATGGTGTCAATAACTAAACTTTTTGGTTTGACAGACATATCAGAAAACCTGCTGTCCGGCATGTTTTTAACCATGTTGACACCTGGGCTCGTGCTGTAGCAGCGCGGTGGAGGCCGAATCGAATTGAAAAGATCCCAGTTCTCACACACTCTTAGAGAGACGCTGTCTGTCAGTTTGTCTGTGCCGCAGTCTAAAGTCTTGGATTTAAGCGTGTGCTGATGGTGAGGGAGATCACAGTCAGTCAAAGGAGGGCCGCTTTTGGACACAGGCATGTAAGTGGGCATGACTGGGTTTGATAGCGGGAAAAAATACGGAGTGGGAGCAAACGGCACCACAGCCTGGAGGAGGAGCGCAGGCAACTCTTCCATCTCTCTTTGCCTCTGCTCTCTTTCCAGCATCACAGTCTCCAGCTCTTTATCAGCAAACGCTCTCCTCTTCCTCATACGAACACTGACTGGGGGTTGGTGGAGTCTCTTAGGCCAGTCCTCCAGCACAAGTGGCTTGTAGCCTACAACATAATGAAGGAGTATTAAAATTGTGGATTTTTCTTGTTCATAATCAAGTCACATTTAAATGTAAAAATATTAGAAGAGTCTACCAGAATAAACTGTTCCACATATAAAAGAAACCTTATAAATTGAGATACTTTGGATTCAAGTAGTCAAGTAGAGAAAAAACTTTTGTTTAGTTATTAATGTTTTTTTAAAGAAATCTCTTATGCTTGCTAAGGCTGCATTTATTTGATTGAAAATACAGTAAGACAGTAATATAGTGAAATATTATTACTTTCATATATTTTAAATGTAATTTATTCCTATCACGGCAAAGCTGAATTTTCAGCAGCCATTACTTTAATCTTCAGTGTCACATGATCCTTCAGAAATCATTCTAATCTGATGATTTGGTGCTCAAGAAACATTTATAATTATTGTCAATGACGAAAACAGATGTGCTGCTTAATATTTCTCTAGAAATGGTGCTACATTTTTTAGGACTTCTTTAATAAATAGAAAGTTCAAAAGAACAACATTTATTTGAAATATAAATCTTTTGTCACAGTGTAAATGTCTTTACTGTCACTTTTTCCTACAGTTTTTCTTTAGAAAGAAAAGCAGAGCTTTTGATGTCAGCAACAAATGGAAAGCATGCAAAGTGCTTTGTCGTCTCTTTCAAAAATGGACACGCCTATATATTTTGCAGTCTTATGTATCATTATATGGTTAGCTACATTTTTTATTTGCATCTGTTAATGGTTTTTCCTGCTGACCATGACAAATCAAAACAGACATGTGGACAATTTTTAGGTCATGACCCACATTTGAGCACCACTTTTTAAATGCATTTCTTAAGTACTGTAAAATTAGCTGCACAAATCATTTTCACCTAATTTCAGAAGAATTAAAAAATACATTTCTTAGACTCCATGTGGAACTCATAAAAGTATAACAGTTTTAAATAGTCTAATGGTACAAAAACAAATTAAGCATATTCAAATTTATGATAACAATTAAATCAGTTTGACCTTAATGTTGACACAGTGAGAAACGCATCAGGGAAAATCAAACTCCAAAGTAGTCATATGAGCCAATTTTTTTTTGTAATTCCTCTATCAATTTGCATAATTTTAATTACCTTACATAAACACAAACATATTTATTCCCGACAGAGGGTTCTTTAGCATAACGGGTGAACTAATCCAGTTTCTCCCGATGTCGCCTTTCAGGGTGCAGTCGTGTTAATGAGATGTGCATTAATTAAGGCTTACCCTCTAGAATACTCTTTGCCAGGAGACTAGGTGCCCTCGTGTAGCGCTGATAAGCTGTGTGTCTGAGAACAGAGGTGCTTTTTTGACCTTTTTTACCCTGTTAAAGAGAATGCATAACTCCGCATTAATTTATGGGATAGATATAAGATACTCACTCTACAATGATGCCAATGGATGTCTTGTTTTTCATAAACAGTGTCCTTTTTCTTAACAATATCTAATGCATCACACAGCTTTGAATGTCTAACTAGACTACTTAAAATGCAATTAATTTATGTTGTTTGCTCTCAGGAAATTTGTGATGAAGATGTTTATCATTGAAATAATAATAAAGCATTAATTATGACAATAGTATGTTTTGAAAATGACTGTAAAGCATTTTTGTTTATAGAAATATATAAATTTGAAGTGAATCAAGTGGATGTACCATTGTAGTACCATCCATGGTATTCTTTGAAATGCATTGGAGTACTTTTTAAATACCAATATACATGAATATGGTAGCAATCAGTATTGTTTTATAAACAAAAGTACCATGTATAACCATATGTTTCCAGTCCTGTATCATGATATTGCCACAGTACTTCTTTTAAGGGTAGTTAACTATGCAACAGACATTTTTTTTTTTTGCAGTAACATGATTTTGCCCTAATATATAAGCAAAAACATGTTTTAAAAAATCTGATTTCATTAATAAATGTGGCAGGCTTGAACTGCAAATTTTACATTACAGCAAACTTTACATTTAAATGACATGTATCAATATAATTCTAACAAATAAAGTAAAAATTCAAATGTGTGTGTGTGTGTGTGTGTATATATATATATATATATATATATATATATATAATTTGCAGTACTGGTTAAACGTTTGCAGTTTAAGTCTGCTACAAGAAAGTACACACGTGTAAAGTAAAAAATCAAATGTGTGTGTGTGTGTGTGTGTATATATATATATATATATATATATATATATAATTTGCAGTACTGGTTAAACGTTTGCAGTTTAAGTCTGCTACAAGAAAGTACACACGTGCTCAAATCCTTCAACAATACAATGTCACTTTGTTTGCAAATAACACCCTTTTTTAGTTCCACTGGAGCACACAGAAAGCTTTAAACTACTCTTTAAACCAACCTCTGTGGCCTGCTGTCTCCGGAGGGCGACTTGCGCTGCCATCACTCTCTGTCTCTCTACGACCAGCAGACAGTTCGCGCACTGACAGTCACGCCAGCGACACAGGCGCTTGTGGCCCTTGAGGCGCGACACGACGCCGTGATTCCTGCAGCGATATATAAATTACCACCTCAAAATGAATAATAATCCAAATGAATAATAAGGATCACAGTCCAAATACTGCTTTAATTCTTTAATTACCATTATATATATATATATATATATATAAATCCCCATAATAATAACAACCCATAATCCCACAGTCATGGCACACTGAATATTTTGTTAATATACTATTGTTCTGTACATTGTGATATTGTTGCTGCTGCCTCATTCTTGAATTTAAATATTGTTTCAGATATTAAAATAGAGGACCACAATGCTAGAATATAATTATAGAATTATAAAGAATTTAACAAGAATTAATAATATTTTAATGGTCATTTAATTTTGGTGTCAGGGTTAATGGTCATTTCCACACAGCAAAAGCACATATTATTTACTGAATTAAACAGCGTCCAGTCCCACTGCACAAATGGGTGTCTTTGTCCTCCCTCGAGCAATGCTTTTGAAAATCCACTAAAATGCACTGCAATCAAATGTAGGACACTTAACGTGTACTCAGCCTAGAATATTAACAGTATAATGTGCAGCAGTCTGCAATAACCCACAAATCCTGTATCCAATGTTATACCAATCCAATGTATAATATTTCTCTTCAATAATTAATCAATACACTGAAGCAGTATTTTACTCTTCTCTAACAGTCAACCAAAGTCACCCTGTTTTCTGACACCTAATTTAGGGTTTAAAAGATGATAAGGCACATTATGTGTACTCATATCATCACTATGTGGTTTCGCTGCTCTTAGTGGACAGTGACCTCTGTGACGCCCCCATGTGGAAGATCTTTGTATTATCAGGACCCGCTGGGCATTTTAAATTGTTACCTTGTGTGCCCTCCTCTGCCATATACAAGTAATTACACTCAGAGTAAAATATTTGTTGTCTTTTACACATTGTTAGTATTCACATTGCTGAAATTAATGAAATATTTTGTAAATGGCTCAGTTGTTTCTGTGTGTATCTTTTTTATTTTATGATATTCACTATAATAATACTGATCTTCAACAAACCACATGACATACAGCAATTGAAAAAACACCCACACACTTTTAAAGGTATTATTAATATTAATATTCCCTAACTCACATTCTGTATAATATTGCACCTATATACAGTAGACAAGACATCCCTAAGAGGCCTCTAAACCTATCAACAATATTAAGATGTTACCTTTTTCTGCTTCACTGACAGCTTAGAACAAATGAATTTAAGCTTTTATGTCTGACACACTGACACACTGATTAAAATCAGTGTGTCAGATCTTTGTGACAAGATGATGCCTTATTCTTTTTTAAAGATTACATTAATATTTCATAATTGTATAATATGCATGTTACTTTGTTGCATATTAATTTTGACTGGTGTGTGAACCAGCTCCTTGGCAGTTTCCGATGTTCTTTTAATTTTTTTAAAAGATATTATCTTTCTAAACTGTCAGTTCAATTGTCATCTCATGAATTACATTATGTTCAACATTATTCTGAAATTAAATAATCTTCCCAGAAACACCTGCATCTTGATTTGGTCTCTGCTAACATACACTGAAAATAAATATTTAGGCCACTAAAACTGAAAACATTCATTTTAATTTAATTAAAAGTTTAAAGTTAAAAAATGTATTGCAAGTTTTTCGCTTCACAAGATATTAATTGATGGTCTAGTATCGTGTTGATTATTGTGATGTTTTTATCAGCTGTTTGAACTCTCATTCTGACGGCACCCATTCACTGCAGAGGATCCACTGGTGAAAGTGATGTAATGATACATTTATCAAAATCTGTTCGATGAAGAAACAAACTCATCTACATCTTGGATAGCCTGAGGCTGAGTAAATTTTCAGGAAATTTTCAGTTTTGGGTGAACTCTTCCTTTAATAAGAGAAACATTGTTTATAGAGAAATGTAATCCAAACAGGGCCTAAATGACTAGCAGACCACCAGATGGGACCAGATCTTAGTCATCCCTCCAGTTGGTCAAACCCAACAGCATCCAGATGAAGAGGCTGCATACAGATCTGCCTGGCATGGGTACAAGTGAAGCCTTTTTTTCACATATGCCAATGTATGTGGAGAGGCTAGAGAGGCAAATCTGGAGTCTGTGAAGAACTTGGAAACGTGTGTTTGGTGGCAAGGCTCATGCGTTCTCCACGCTGTCTGATGAAATCCTTAATGACCTGAAGAGAACCCTTAGTCACTCACCACAGTCAATTTGAGTTGACATGCTCTGTTGTTGTTTGATCCACTTATTTATTTGACCTCTTTTTACATTTATTTTCTTCTCTCACTCTGTTTTTCTGCTCAACAACATCCACAGGGCTTAAGCTTTATGCTAAGATGTCATGACAGGAGAAGTTGGTGGAAAAAGGTCTTCAAGGGTTTAAAACTTTCTAGGGGTCAGTCTGTTCGGTTGTGTTTTTCCTTTAGCAGAAATTGATGAATACATAAAAAAGATTGTAATTTTAACAAATTTTTCACTTACTCTATATGGCGAAAAACTGTAATAGACCTATTGAGACATTACATGAAATTTTACAGTTAAATACTGTTAAATGTACAATTTTAGGACGTGAAAAAGAACGTCATCTTGTAATTTACAGAAAAAAACAAGGATTCAAGAGTTTTTCATTGAAATAACTGTTTCTAACTAATGTAAAAATGCAGAAAGTTTTCTGTGAGGGTTTAGGTGTAGGGTTGGTGTAGGGCGATACAGTTTGTACAGTACAGTATAAAAACCATTACGCCTATGGAGAGTCCCCACAAGGATAGTAAAACAGATGTGTGTGTGTGTGTGTTTGTGTGTATGTCACCATGCACCATCTATATTTTAGTATTTACTGTACCTCAGCTTGTGGAAAAGCTACTTGTGATGAACTCTGATTCATCAAGTGATTTTCTTTTTACCACATGTTTTGAAGGTGGTTGTCCATATATTATAATAATAATAAAACCAAATAAAGAAAAAAACATGAAAATAATAATAAAATGTTGCTACTGTATTTAAATGTGTATGTCACCATGCACCATCTATATTTTAGTATTTACTGTACCTCAGCTTGTGGAAAAGCTACTTGTGATGAACTCTGATTCATCAAGTGATTTTCTTTTTACCACATGTTTTGAAGGTGGTTGTCCATATATTATAATAATAATAAAAACAAATAAAGAAAAAAACATGAAAATAATAATAAAATGTTGCTACTGTATTTTTTAAAAAGTAAAGTTCTGGCAACAACAGCTGCCATTTTTACTTTAAATTTTACAGATACTACAGCATAATATTTTTTAACAAGACAAACTATAAATGATCAAAGTGTCTTACACAGTTAAAAAACTGTGTAGTGGGACACTTTCTGATAGTTTATAATTAGTCTTGTTTTAAAATATGATGCTATGAAATTGTGTGAAGGGCTAAAGTTCCTTACAACATTATACAGAGGAAAAGGAAAATATTAAATACAAAATGTAAGTGTCACATTTTTGTTGTCTCACTTTACCTGTATTCACACTATGTTTATGCCGCAGCCTTTCTAAAAGCAGAGGCATAACATCATATTATTTATGCATATAGTATTAGAATATTTTGTTACTATGCTCTTTGCCTGTTAATTACTGTATGTGCTCATCACATGAAACCCCCACAAATGGAGGCAACTCAATGTAATTATAGCTCTTCCAGCAAAGTTTGTCATCACAAGATACATTTCACCATCTCTCACTATTGCAACCACTGTCGATGTGTAAGACCGGAAAACAAAGAGAATGAGCATATGATGAAAAGTGTATGGGAACGGCTTCTTCATGTGTCAGAAGGCGTATGAATTTCTGCCAGTTTCAGCACAGGTTAATGATATCTACTAAATGTAAAAAGCGAAATTCAAATGCAGAGGTGTCTTCAACTGCCTTGGTGAAGTATTCTTCACACAGAGTCTGTCTTTTGTCTTTCTGATCTGTTGATCTCTCTTTTTTTGTCATATTCTCACATCTGAATGTTTTGTGATGTACTTCTACTTTCTGCTTCTTATGAGTTCTATTCCTTTTCATAGGGAAAATCCATTGAATTCATTGTTTGTTTGTTTTTTGTTGGAAGATGACAAATTCATCTTAAATTGTACCAATTCTCTCCTGATTCTGCATTAGAACAGAAACCTCAAAATCATAAAACACAGACAAACACCGGTTCTCTGTAGTTCTTGAGTTCTCTTTTATGTTGTTATACAAACTGAGCAAATGGCAGCGACTGTCTAGAATTAAACAAAGACAGAGTGCTAAAGCCTGAAACTCCTCCCCTGTTTTCACGGCCAGTCTGACAGCAAGGAATATGTGAGTGTTTTGCATTGCAAAACATACCATTATTTGCCAGCCATGATTATTCAAAAGAATCAGCACTGGGGAGCAATATTAAACAGCTTTTGCTTTTTCATACCAGACACAAACAAAACAGCAACAAGAAAAGAAGTAAATTTAATTAACTGAACATATTAAAAACTCAAATTAAATATAAAAAGGGAGTGATTTTAGCAACATATCTGTCATGCTCTTCGCAAGCTTTCTTGAAATAATTTTGCAGCTATTTAAAGACAAACAAGGCAGAAAATTTGCAAATTAATTACTATTTATGCATTTTATCAAGGCACATGCTAAACATAAACACAGGGGACCGGTTGCTAGACAGAACAATTATGATAATTGATAGTGTCTCTCTCTTTCCTGTTGTTTTCCTCATGTTTTCTTTGAAAATTGTCATTATTTACTCAGACTCGTGTCCAAATATGTATGATTTATCTTTCTTCCATGGAACACAAAAGGAGACATAATGAACTATAACCTAGGCTATTGGTTGCTGTTTTCCATGCAGTTACAATGACATACAGTGGTAAAAGAATCACCCCCCTTTAAAATAATCACATTTTGTTGCTTTGCAGCCTGAAATGAAGATGGACAAAGTTTTTTTTAATCCAGCTGTATTTACTCAGTGCAACTTATAACATCCAA